ATATATATATATATATATATACCATTCCCTTGTGCATATAAGAAAACTAAATATATTAATATCTAATTTGTTTGAAGAATTGTTGTTTATAGTTAAGCACAAAGCTACACAACTCTGCCCACCACGGGTATAGAAACCCGGTTTCTAGCGTCGTAAGTCCGCAGACATACCGCTGTGCCACTGGGGGGCTGTTTGAAGAATCAAAGTATTAATCAGAATAAATAAGACTCACACTCATATTTATAGAACAAAAAACGTAACGTAATAAATGATCCAAGTATTTGTTGATAAACTTCTGTTGGTGTTTTTGCAAAGCTCAGAATTTCATCTACTAGTAACAATTTTTAATTCTTGTTACAATTTTATAACTTCAGTTATTCAGATCAGTGGTTCCCAAGATATTTCAGTCTGAGACTCCCTTACTGTGAATAAAAAAGCTTGAAGTCTCCCAACTAAAAATGCCTTAAAACGTCCTCCCCCACACACTACCTTAGTATGGTGATTGAAGAAAATGCCGTAGTAAAATAAATAACATCTCCTTTCAGTCTACAGTATCATTCAATTAGCCTTAAAACGTCCTCCCACCACACACTACCTTAGTATGGTGATTGAAGAAAATGCCGTAGTAAAATAAATAACATCTCCTTTCAGTCTACAGTATCATTCAATTAGCCTTAAAACGTCCTCCCCCCACACACTACCTTAGTATGGTGATTGAAGAAAATGCCGTAGTAAAATAAATAACATCTCCTTTCAGTCTACAGTATCATTCAATTAATTTAATATAATTTTTATCGGTTTATTGTTTATTTAATTCAGCATCTTTGTTTTCGGCCCATTTTTGGCGCCCCCCCCCGAAAAAGCTTCTGTCTCCCATTTTGGGAAACACTGTATTAGATAATATTGCATAATTTGTAGCAAACTAAAAAGATTTTTTCCCGTTATAATTGTTCTAGTTAAAAGCATTTAAAAATAATTGTTTATTAAATTTCTCAGTTATGTTATTGTACATAGTACAAAAACTTGCCTTTCAAAATAATACAGTGATTTAATATTTGAAACTAGTATTAAAATACCCCTATTAATAATTATCAATATTAGTATATATTATTTTATTTATGCCGTTTCTGATTTACGGGCAAAGTCACCTGCTTAAATTAGCAACTATATACAATTCAGGCGAAGTCTAAGCCTAGGATGTGACATACAAACTAAGCTCAGATACAACACAGCAATAGTCACAAGCATATTTCCTCGTATTCAGCAGTGTTACCACATTTAAAACTTCATAAATTTTCCGTATGAATATTAAGCTCAATAACTAATTATCTGTTCTCGTTTTTCTTTATTGAAACATTACCATTTAACTTAATGCTGACCATTATACAGATTGATCGTTTGGTGCTATTGAACCGACTGAAATAGTCATGAATTATGCCATTCCATAACTATTATATGACATATCTTTATTCAGGAATTCAAAAATGTATTTTACAATTTCCATGAAGTTTCTGCATATAGTTTATCACGTGCATGATAGTCGTGACCCTGTGTTTAACTTTTTTTTTTTTTTTATAAATAAATGCTACATACTGCAACCCTTGTTCTTAATTCTGAAGCTACCGGGTTTCTTTGGAAATATCCAATTCAAACAGGGAATTAGAAACTTTGATAACTGACTTGGCTTGAGACTGATGTATAATATTATTTGAAATAATTAACGTGTGGACTTGTGGGAAATCTAATTTGCTTTGTTTCATACTGGCATACGAATAAATATTCCGTGAATAAAAAAAACACTAGTCAGTTAACAAAGAGAGAATATGAATATTTGATTTAACTTCTTATAACATGTGATATCGCGACTCTTTCCTATTTTTAATGTTACACTCGACTTCTTTCTAGCACAGAAAATAGTAATTACTTTCGTTCCATTTTTCCTTTGTTTGCTATAGAGATAAATATTTTTAAATACAATAGTTTTTTGGCAATAAAAGTAGGAAATAATTATTTTTTATAGAAATATACTTTAAATAAATGTTTGATTATCATACGTTTCATAAAAATGTTACCAATGAAAAATATTTTCAACGGAAATAGTTTTGAAATAAGCACAGATTAACGGATAAAAAACAAGAAAATACCTTGTTTTTTATTGATACAGTCTCTTCAAAATTCATCACAGAATTAATCAATCAATCAATAAAGTAGCTTTGCGCGAAATTCAAAAACAAACAAACAAACAATCAATAAAAATTCAAATTTAAATGAAAAACGAATATTCTCTTTAAGTTCGTGAAAGATTTTTTTCAAGTTTTACATAAAACTTACTTTATTTTAAGCGCAAAGTTCTCCAGTTCTCGCAGCAGTGATCGAACCCCAAATATTTGGTTGTATAAGTCTTCAAGATTTTTACTTTTTTTATGACGCATAAAAATTTAAAATTGAGGATATTTATATTAATTGTCAACTCCATTTGCAAAATAAGAAACACATGCCCTACTATTTTCCCTAAAACACCTTTTCAAACCCATGCCACAATTAGTTTGTTTGTTTGTTTTTGAATTTCGCGCAAAGGTACACGAGGGCTATCTGCGCTAGCCGTCCCTAAGTTAGCAGTGTAAGACTAGAGGGAAGGCAGCTAGTCATCACCACCCACCGCCAACTCTTGGGCTACTCTTTTACCAACGAA